GCTTGCTGATGGTGGCCAGGCATTCCAGCTCTGTAGCTGCAACTTGAGCACTGTTGCTGCTATTCAAAGCTGCAGCATACAGAAGTGGCAAACTTGGAAAGGCTTCTTCCAAGGTAGAAGCCAAAATGAGCCACTTCCAGCCAGATTCCAAGATACCCTTCAAACTGTCAGGTCCAGAAGCAAGCCCAGCCAACTTCTTGGCCTTGAGGAAGCTGGTGCTATGAGATGCTCCAACTGTCAAATACAGTTCATCTCCTTGAACATCTGCTAGGACTCCAGGAAATTGCTGCACCAGCTTTTGGTTGGCCTTGACCTGCAGCTCCCTTTTCGACAGGTCTGATGACAATGCAAAAGCCACTGAGGAGCTTTCCAAAAGGTCTTGCCTGAAGCCTTGAGACATGAGCTTCTCACCTTTAGCAACCACATCAAATCCATTGCACATACTGCCACCCCTGTTTGAGGGGTGGACCAACATCTTGCATGGAGGGACAGTCTGGTAAGAAGCCAATCCATTTCTCAACCACAGCTGGTTGAGAAGCACCATCTTCTGGTTCACAGGATCATTGGATCCCAGGATCCTGTCAGCCTCACATTTCACATCCCCAGTCAAAGCCATTGCTCAGCAATGGCCTTGCAAAGGTGTCCTGTAATGCAAGTGTGTTCAGTTGTACTACTTGCAAGTGTGTGCCATAGTTCCTACTTTGTGGTTGTCCAAGCATATTGCCTACTTTGTGGGAGCATTTTGCTACCATCTGTGCTGAGCACAACACAGCTGTGCTCAAACAATTGCAGTTTCCAACCAACAAGGTACAAGAATCAACAAGGCAAGACTCATGCAGCCTTATGGCTCCAACCCTACAAGGCAAGACTCATGCAGCCTTATGGCTCCAACCCTACACATGCAGCCACACAAGGGCTCCAAACCCAAAGCAAGCAGCCAGGATGGCTCCAACATGTAAGGCAAACAGCCATAATGGCTCACTAGAATACACGCTCACATATGTATATATAGATGTATATTTGTATTTTTGTTAAGCCAGCTAAAG